ACCGAAAATAACTTTTGAGTACTGTGTATTTGTGTTGTCTTCTATATTTTTTAGAAGGCATAAAAGCCGGGGGTGGGAGGGAAGTACACATCTTCCCATCCAATCCATATTTCTCAAGAGCATAGCCAGAGTGGCTGTCTCTCACATGGCGTGCACTTCCCCTCGCTTCCCCTTACTCACCATCCCAGTTCCCTTTATCTCTGCTGCAGCTCCTCCTCCTCTTGAAATGGCATGCCCTTCTCTTCTGTGACACTTCTTAGCTCTCCCCTTCATCACTGCCATTCTTTCCATTTCTCCCATGTCTTCTGCATCCTGTCCTTTTAAGTATTAATATGCAGATCACCTGCCACACCTGTGTCTTTCCCCTTTTTGAATCTCATGAGTCACTTGATCTCGTGGCTTACTGTCCATGGACATCAGACCATGTATCTTCTCATATGCCTTATTGTTCCGGCAGGATTTCCACGGTTACCCAGTCAAAAGAGCTGGTCAGTTTCTACTCAGCCTTGAGCTCATTTATCACCAGTTTTTGGGCCCCTCCTTAGATAAGATACACTTCCCTAGCAGTAGGAGAGTACACTCTTGCATTTCTTTCCTTGTTTTTTAATTCTCTGTTTGTGTATCTAATTATTCCACTATACTGTGTTTTTTTTTTGTTTGTTTGTTTGTTTGTTTTAAGAATAGTTCATATCTTTGGCCAGGTGTGGTGGTGCATGCCTTTAGTCCCAGCTCTCAGAAGGCAGAGGCAGGTGAATCTCTATGAGATTGAGGCCAGCCTGGTCTACATAGTGAGCTCCAGGCCAGCTTGAGGCTACAGGGAGACCCTGTCTCAAAAAAACCAAAAAAAATTATTTTAAGTCAAATATTACTAAAACAGTGAATATATGTTGTTAGAAAATAATAGTTGCTAGAATTGGATGCAGTGTGATCCCAGATACTCAGGAGGCTGAGGCATGAAGATCACTTGAGCACTTGAGTTCATCAGCAGCCTGAGCAACAGAGTGAGACCTGTTCTCTATTCATCTCAGATAGAAAAAGAGATTGGCTATGGAATAGTAGCATAACTATCACTATCAGTAGTTTGTTGACTTAAATCCATATGTTCAATTAAAATTTACTAGTGAAATATCACATAACTTAATATCCATTTGTGTTTTTTTATTCTGTTTTGTTCTTGTTTTGAGACAGGGTCTCCCTGTAGCCCCAGCTGGCCTGGAACTCACGATGCAGACCAGGCTGGTCTCGAACTCACAGAGATCGCCTGCCTCTGCCTCCTGAGGGCTGGGATTAAAGGCATGTGCCACCATACCCAGCTTTTAATATCCACTTGCTATATCTTAGGATAATAAATTTTAAAATAGCATTTGTTTTAATTAGAGTATAATATGACAGTCTAATTAGAGAAAATACCGGTTTTACACCATACATTTGTGATCGTTCCAGAATGGTTCACTATGATGTAGCCATTTTTAGTGGGAAGGGACCGTAGTAATCTGAAATTCAACTTTTTCATTTTAAAACAGGCTACTTTTTCATTTTAATGTGGCTCCCATACCCTTCTCTGTATGTTTAGTTAGTATTCGCACATGCAGGCATTTAACAAATATTTGCTGAAAGAATGCTTGACTACAGCAAGGCTGTTCAGTGCAGCCCACTTTCCTTACTCAGACTCACTTTTCTCAGCTTTTCAATTTATCAGTATTTGCTGTGACCATCCTACATTTCAAGACCAGCATCTTAGCCAGGTGTGGAAGCACATATCCAGAACCCCAAAATCTGGAAAGGGAAGTGGGAGGATCAGGAGTTTGAGACCAGCTTTGGCTATATAAGACCCTGTTTAAAAAAAAAAATACCACCTTCTTGACCCTAGAGTCAGTATTCTAAGCCAAATTGCCTTTCATTTCTCTTTTTGAGTTTCTTACACTCGAAACTTCCCTGGAATAAGTGTGTGTGAGTGTGTGTGTGTGTGTGTGTACATAGATCATAGATATAGATGCTTTCTATACAAGTTATTTTCTCAGGACAGGAGAAATGAAAGACAGTTGAGGTATTTGGACAGAAGTTTTTCACATTACAGATTTTAAGCTTCAGATAATTTTATTGGGACGTAGTCTATGCAGAATAAATCACTAGAAAAATTAAGATAGGAAAGCAAATTTGAGCAAAATTTATAATGTATAATAGAATTATTTATTATTACAAGTATAAAGCTAAGTATATTTTTGCTGGGTCTTTGGTGCCATTGTTCAGTTTTTAAAAACCATACAGCTTAAGAAATCTAAAAAGTACTTATTTTTAAAGATGTGTGGTATGAGGGGGCACATAATTGTGTTTACAGATCTTGCATTACGATGTTTGCTTGAAACCTATGCTGCCAGTTACGGGGAAAGGAATGAAGAACCTTTAGCCAAACGCATAAAGAATGATAAAACAGAAAAGGAAATGAACACTTTGGCCAAGGAAGGAAATGAACGAAGTGTCCCAGAGAAGCAGACCCCTGTGGCTGGCATTGTTATTGCGCTCTGTTGTCACCACAGGTGTGACTGGAGACATTATGTGGGCAAAGAGTATTTCAGGGCGCTAGGCCTTGGAGCAGTGGAATTCTACTACTTCCAGCGAATGAGTAGTTGGGCGACCTGTGGGTTAAGGAAAACTTCTTTGGAAGCCTCAGATATTACTGCAAAGAGAAAAGATACTCAAAATGATGCCACTGAGGAGCATGACAGCGGCGGGTACGGAAGCACGGATGACAGCTCTGACAGTTTACCTGGGTAAGTGACATTGTAATACACAGCACCAAAGGAGAGGTATTTTATGGCTGTAAAGTAGTCCCCCTTGACCCCTGTGGGCTACATTTCAAGACCTCCAGTAGATTCCTAAAATCACAGATAAAACAGAACCCTGTGTGTAAGCATGCAGTTACATCCAGAAACAGTCTAACAACCAAGATGGCTGTACTCTGACTAATAAGTGAGCAACATGCAGTGTGGGTTTACCAGGCAAAGGGAGAACCATGTGTCAGGTGGGAAGGGGTGGGATGGCACAGGGTTCACTGTACTACTCAGAATGGTGCTACGAATGGTTTATTTTGGGAATTTTCCATTTAATTATTTCAGACCGTGATTGACCTTGGGCAAGAAAGTGAAATTGGCCACAGAAAGTGAAATTGAATCATTGCTCCTTGGCTTTGGGCTAAGATCAAGTCTAGAAAGTGACACTGAGTAAGAGAAGGGACTAGTTGGTTTTTAGATGATTATTATCAACAATTTATTCAAGAAAGTAGATTTTACAATCTAATTTTAGATTAAGTTAAAACTGAATGGTTTATTTTGGGAATTTTACATTTAATTATTTTAGACCGTGATTGACCTTGGGCAAGAGAAACCACAGAAAGTGAAATTGAATCATTGCTCTTGGCTTTGGGCTAAGATCAAGTCTAGAAAGTGACACTGAGTAAGAGAAGGGACTAGTTGGTTTTTAGATGATTATTATCAACAATTTATTCAAGAAAGTAGATTTTACAATCTAATTTTAGATTAAGTTAAAACATACATTTTTATTGTGATCATAAAAAAAGTATGGGAGGCAATCTAATTTTAGATTAAGTTAAAACATACATTTTTATTGTGATTATAAAAAAGTATGGGAGGCATGAGACATAGCACCTAGTATAATATGGATTATTTAGCAGTGTTTTAATAAATAAAAGTGACTACATTTTTTATAAACTTTTACAAAATTTTAATCATGTTTCATGTGTTTATTCAACTTAGGATTCTTACTGTTGAAGAAAAGAAGAAAATAGGGCATCTTTGCAAATTGCTGATTGACCAAGGCCGAGTCCAGTATTTACAGCAGAAAGGGTTCAGTCCTGCCTTACAGTACTATATAGACCCTTTGGTGTCTTTGGAAAATGTACTGTTAACTGCTTTACCAACTCAGCGTTCATCACCGGAAACAACTGGTTAATGGGAAAGAAATGTGAACAACATCTGTCTTCCATAAACAAAACATTTAAATCTGTTTTAAATTATATTTTTATATTCACAAAAACACAAATAGCAGGTAATATGAACTTTGAAAAATACTGTGGCCTCATTAAAAAAAAAGCAATAGTTTTTTTGTACTTTCAAAGCCCAGAGATTCACCAAATTCCCAAAGTATTCCTTGTCGTCAGGGCATATTGAATTATATTATCCATTAGAGTTTATAGAGATGGGTAGTGTAGTCAAAGACTTGACTTGATCATCTGAAACATACATAACACATCAACACATGATTAGAATAGAAACTCTGTTAATTTGGTAAATTTACTTGTCTTTGGTTTTAGTTGATATTTTTCATTTTTCAAGCTCAAGATGTGATGATCAGTTTGTAATAAGGATCAGTCTTTATGTGGATTCTTTTTTTTTCTCTACAGATCTGGAAAGTGTAATTGTAGTTTTTCCAAGTGCAATGCAGAACCATCCTGCATTTATACACTGTCAGAATTTGTTCATGACACCAAAACTAAAGAAAGAATTTTAAGAAAAAAATAATCTACTTCACTTTAGTTCTTTGTTTGATAATTACAAAGTTTGACCTTGCAAAATGTTACTTGTAAGCATAAACCACAAATCAAATTTGAAATTTGCAATAACTTCTGAAGTTAATCAGGTGTCTCCTATCTTTTACTACCGTCCCTTTTTAAAAATAAATGTTAGCATTAAAAAAAAAAAAAAAAAGGCCAGTTGTGGGGATGCACACTTTTAATCCCAGCACTCAGGAGGCAGATCTCTGAATTCGAGGCCAGTGTGATCTACATAGTGATTTCCAGGCCAGCCAGGGCTACATAGTGATACCCTGTCTCAAAATAAAATAAGATAAAATAATAAAAATAGGTTCTCTCCTGTTTGGGAAAATTATTTGGAATAAAATAGAAATTAGATGATGAAACAAAAACCTCACATTTAGGCCTTAACTGATAAGCCGTTATCTATGCACAAGCAAATATTAAATCAAACAAATGGCAGGACTATTACTTTCATCTACATCTTGTTCTTGATTTGTTTGTACATGCATTTGTAAACACTGTTTTAGTTGTCAGTACAAATGCCAAGGCAAAGATTCAGACTCTCAATTTTACTATTAGAGTGATAATTAAGATAAATATTTGTAACATGTAGGTCTACGGTTATATAAATTATGACTGAGAAACCTAACACATTTTTAATTCCTGACCTTTCTGCTTTAGTTCGGTCTCATGTCTTGTCAAACTGTCTAGGTTTAAATTCCAACCCTACCACCTCTGAACTGTGTGACCTCGGGCAAGCAATCTCTTTGTGCCTCAATTTTCTCCTCTTAAAATAGGGATGATTCTAATAATCAAACCTACCTCACAAGGTTGTATCAAATGAGCTCACACAAGTAAAATGCTTAGGATGGTTCCAAGCACAGAATAAATAATAAATGTTAACTGGTAATAATAGTGACTTGTTAGTCTATTGTAATAGAATAGACTTTTATTATCTTTTTAAGTTGTTTTCTCGTTAGGTTTGATGTCATGTATTGTTGAAGTCCATTAAATTAGTCACTCATAGTCCCAGTCAAGAGAATAGAAATGAAGATAACACGTCATTCAGTAATTATCCGTACTATGTCATAAATGTTATTTGTATCACAAAATTTGTTTTGTATTTCTAAAAATTTATGCCCAGAAATAAAATATTCTACAACAGGCATAATCTTGGTTATTTCATAAGACACCCCAAATTATCATGCTGATACACTCCTGTGACCCATTGGCTAATAGTATATTCTGAAAATGGTCCTGAGTACTTCATAGGAAAATAAGCTTGTTCTTCAATGTGCTCAACTTAGGTCAACACTATTGTTTTTAACAACTTTGGTTTTGTTTCCTCACATAAGAAAATATTAATGTGAGCTATGCATATGTTAAATAGCTACTTCTTTGTTGTTATTTTGTTGTTTGAGACAGGGTCTTCCTACGTAGCCCTGGCTGGCCTCAGATTCACAGCAATCCAAATGCCTCTGCTTCTCAAGTACTGGGTTTAAAGGTGTGCGCCAACCATGCCTGGCAGGTAGCTATTTCTTGACTTGGAAAATTTTCATTTTAGCAAGCTCCCTTCTTGAACTTTACATCCACAGTTGCCTCACCTTGCATGTTCCACAAGTCATCAGCTTTACTGTTAGATCTTGAACTCTCTTAAACTGGAAATCATCTTTGCTTTCTGCCACCTGATTCTGCCCACCAAACTAGTGTCCATGTTCACTCCCCATACGGGCACTACTATCCAGTTCATCCAATTAAAAACATTCACGTTAACCTCTTTTTCCAGTCAGGTGTAGTGGCTCACACCTTTAATCCCAGCACTCAGGAGGCAGAGGCACGTGGATCTCTGGGAAAGGCCAGTCTGGTCTCCATATCCAATTCCAGGCCAGCTGAGGCTACCAGGAGACCCTGTCTCAAAACAAAAACAGATTTATCCTGAACTCCTTTTCTCATCATCAACGATCATTTCTATCTCCTGCCTGTCTTTGATATTTTATCCCCTTTTTTCCAGAACTAGTCCTCAAGCTGTTTTGAACATTTTTACTGGTCGTCTCCCAGCCTGTCAGTTGTTAGCTGCCATATGGGTGCTGGGAATTAAACCCATGTCCTTTGCAAGAGCAGCTAGTGCTCTTAACCGCTGAGCCATTTCTCCAGCCCCAACTCTTTGTATTTTTATTAATTATAAAGCTATGGTTATGTCTGTGCTATTATTTCACTCCTTTAATTCTCTTTGCCCTATTCCTCTAATTTTGGGACTACAGGTGTGCACCACCACGCCTGAATTTTGGTTTATTCTAAAAGCTTTTTTCCTTAATTACAAAAATAGTTAATTCTGAGAACTCAGAGATCCGCTTGCCTCTGCCTCCCAAGTGTTGGGACTACAGGTGTGCACCACCATGCCTGAATTTTGGTTTATTCTAAAAGCTTTTTTCCTTAATTACAAAAATAGTTAATTCTGCAGGGGATGGTGGGGCACACCTTTAGTCCCAGCACTTGGGAGGCAGAGGCAGACAGATCTCTGAGTTCCAGGCCAGCCTGGTTTACAAAGTGAGTTCCAGGCCAGCTGGGGCTACTGGGAGACCTGTTTCAAAAAGACAAAAAAAACAAAAACAAAACAAAAACAACAAAAACCAAAAATCCTAGAAATTCTAAATTCTCAGAAACTGCAGTCTATCATACCTCATATTCTGTTGGTTAAAATCCATGTTCTCAGTATTTTTCATTCCTAAATAAAATTTTGTTGTTGTTATTTGTGGATTATAGAAAAGGGAAATGGCAGGAAAGGTGTGTTCCTGCTTCATCTGACCCAGATGTCACCTGGCAGAATGAGGAATGAGGGAATGAAGCTTTAAAAATCCTGCCTAGGGCTGAGGGTGGAGGAACAGCTCAGTAGTAGGACTTTTGCCGAAGGCCTTGGGCTTCATTCACAGCTCCAGAAAGTATATTTCGAGACAGAAGTGGAAGTACATTTTCATACTCTTGCTTGGGCTTCAAGTGCTCAGCTAAAGAATGTGTTTTCTTGATTCATTTTGAAGGACTATATCTTTACAACTTCTACCACTTATTGGAGTTATGAACAAAGTTGAATTTCACTTTTTCCCCCTCCCCTCAGTTTTGACCCAGTGACCAGAATTTGACAGACAAAAATAAGAATGAGAAATCCATAAAGAAATCAACAGAACTCAATTACACACACATTCCCTTTCCAAAACATATCTAGTCTGTGCTGTGTACAGATCCCATACCTGTTTTTTGTGATTCTTGTATATATGCATGCATAAACTGAAGACCAAAGAGCTCCTGTTCCTCTGCGTCCGTGTTTTCACAGGGAGGAAGTGTTATTTCCAGTCTCAGTGGGTTGTCTCTGAAGTTGACAAACCTAGCAGTTCCCAAAAAACAGTATGTTTATTAGGTGGCATATAAATGTATGGGCATTTCTTTCCCTGGAGAAACAGCAAGCAAACTATACTGAATAACTTTTTTTTTTTCTTTTTTTGGCTTTTCGAGCCAGGATCTCACCTATTAGCCCTGGCTGGCCTTGAACTTACTATAGACTAGACTGACCTCCAATTCACAGAACTCTGCCTGCCTCTGCCTCCGAGCACTGGGATCAAAGGCATGCACCACCACACCTGACTGAATTACTATTTTAAACTGGTTTCAATAACTGAATATCTTGCTGGAATCTAACATAGCTGAAGAATTTGTAAGTTTTTTTTTCCTAGAAGTAAACAAAGGTATCTTTCCATAGCTTACAAAAACAGCTATTAGTTATATTTAATGTGATAAAAAGTTGCATTTAAAATTTTTTTCCTTGGGTTTTTTGTTTTTGAGTCAGGGTCTCCCTTGTAGCCCCAGCTGACCTGGAACTCACTATGTAGACCAGGCTAGCCTTGAACTCACAGAGATCCACCTGCCTCTGCCTCCAGAGTGCTGGGACTAAAGGCGTGCGCCACCACCACTGGGACAAAAGCTATTTCTTAAATCTGATAAATACCACTAATGTTTCAGTTTAAAGAATTCTTTTGACTGGTATTATATGAGTCCTATTCATGAAATTAAATTTCAACACTGGAAAATACTTTTTAAAAAATTTTATTATTATCATTTTTTATGTGTATGTGTGTATTGCCTGCATGTAGGTAAGTATATCCGTGTCATGCAATGCCCACAGAGGACAGAAGAGGCTGTCAGATCCCCTGGAACTGGAGTTACAGACAGTTGTTAGCTGCCATGTGGGTGCTGGGATTTAAACCTGGGTCTTCTGCAAGAATAACCAGTGTTCTTAACTGCTAAGCCATCTCTCCAGCCCGGAAAATAGTTTTTAAATGTATGCACTCATAATAAGAACCCAAATTTAATAATTACAATCTTCATTACCTAATTCTGCAGCCAGAAATAAGCGTGCAGTGCCTGTGGGCACCTCCTTACCGCAGGCTGGCCATTCCGGCCATGCATCCTGGAATATCTTGCAGCTTGTTGTTGCTGAGAACAAGTGTTCCCAGGTTTCTCATGTTGCTGATTGTGTTGGGCAGGCATGTTAATTCATTCCGCTGGAGCCACAGTGTATGTAAGCTGTGCATTCTGAAGATGTAGAAGAGAATTCAGTAACTCGTCACCTATCGTATGGAAAGCTGGGCTCACTTACCTTAACAATCAAAAGAATGCCCCTTTACAGTTCTTCATTTAATGGATTTATTTATTGACTTAACTGACTTCATTTCTTTTTTATTGCCTGATTATTAGAGAAACTAATATAGATTATGGAGAAACTAATATCTATAAAATAGCTTTTATGCAACAGGAATGAACATATTTTATAATTCACCACATTTTTCATAGTTTTCTAAAAGAATTGCTATAAATGCCATCTAATATGAACTTTTTTTTTTTTTTGGCTTTTTGAGATAGGGTATCCCTGTAGCCCCAGCTGTCCTGGAACTCACTATGTAGACCAGGCTGGCCTCTAACTCACAAAGATCTGCCTGCCT